TCAGTCTCAGTTATAGAAATATTTTGAAGACATTTTCTAGATGTCGTAATCCGAAACAGTTATGAAATGTAAAAACCAAAGAGCATTTACTGGGATTTCATGAGTTGATTTCATTTTGGGGGAGCAGGAAGGTTCTAATAGGCCACATAAAGAGTGGGAAGTCATTTAGAAAGCACGTTTATTCTTACCTTCCATTTTTAGACCTTTAGACTATTAGAAAAGAGACCTTAATTACAACAGGCAGAATGACGGGATAGAACTATCCATGTTTCATAAGGACCCCATTGAATGGTGTTAGATCTGTGTGAACTATGGGCAGTGTTAACTTTGTTTTTGTTTTTCCTTCCATAATGATATTTTAAAGCCATGTGTATGAAATAAAAATATTCAGGGTCAGTTTGGATCTTAGTATGCTCCCTGTTTTCAGCACAGTGTAACCTTGACTTTGCATCCATTGTGCAAATGGGACTATTCTGATACCTTCTCTTTATGATTCTTTGACTCTCAATGCATTGTTTGCAATGCTCAGTCTAAACCAAGTATGAAGCTGTGATTAAATGGAAATGGATTTGGGATTTAAGCTGGTGAAGTAGATGCAAAAATATTCTGCATCTGCGTTGCTGTCCCATTGTGATTTCCCTATAACTTCGTAGGAAAACGAACATGTTGTGTTGCTCTCTGTGAAAGCTAAGCAGATGTCCACTGCGGGCAAGTGGATCCTTAAGCTTTGCCTCACTTATACGTTGACTCGAGTTCTGTTTAGCAGGTGGGGCTTTGTGATTGGTGTACCATGTGACATTTACCAGGGGAGTTCCTCGGAGGGCAGGCTGCTCATAGAGAGACAGAGGGTCTTGCCTTTTGATGAGGAAATTGCTGAAACTCATGTCTCATTAGTGTTTCTTAAGGTTCTTGGGAAGCAAACAACAGTTTAATTAAAGTCTGACGTAAACACATTTCTGCACATTTTCCCTGCAGCATATTATCTCATTAGAATTGATCAGAATAGTTGCCCTGGGCTAACTTGAACAGATATACATCTGGAGCACCATGTGTGCAAGCTGCCAATGAGTCAGCTACATACGCTATGCTTCATAGCAACTTGGTTGTTTGCTTTACTTTGTAGGTGCAATTACCTTGTTGGGAAATGAATTGATCTAACTTTTTCAAATTTGTCTGGGCCTCTATATCGCTGATATGCTAGTAATTTCAGAATTACTATATAATGCAATCCAGACATGCATATTCTTTACCTCTTTAGTATTATGCAGTAATAACCTGAAGCTTTTAATTTATCCAACATTCTGTTTAATTTCCTCTGGAACTATTTTCAGGAATGTATTCAGATACCATTGTCTACTCTGTATTACCATATACATACACAGTGTTGGTATCAGATTATCAGTAACCAAAATTTACAAAATGAAAACAGTTTTTTCTGTACTGGAGAACACATAGTATAGTTTTAGCTCAGTCTTCCTGTGAGTCTTGGCACCTTAACTCGCAAAATTATCAACAATGGTAAAGATGGTTGGTTATTCTCAACATTATAATTTTTATATTTAAAGGAGTAGACTGTAGAAGGCTATTTAAATTGAAATCAGGCAACTAGCTTCAATTTCTTTTGGTGCATGTGTCATTTTGATTCATAATTAATAGGATCAATTCCATTACTGATGTAGGTGGCTTTGTTTCAGTTTTGCAATTTGGGCTGTGCAAAACAGTTTAAAATAAGCTTCAGAAAGTGCATTGGTGTGAATGATGCACCCCTCTTTTTCAAGCATTAGAACAGCTGTTTCTTTGGGAGGCTCCTGCAACAACTTTCATCTATTGTCTTTGCATATATGTACATCCAAAAACAATGCTTCCATTGGGGAAAGAAGTTGTGCTGAGCCTCCTAACATACATATGCTGCTGCTTCAATACATCAAGAAGGGGTGTTTTGCTAACATGCTTCGTGGTGTACCCTTTTCAAATGCTTTAAATGGCTCTGTGGTACCTCATGTTTTTTACTCCATTATGAATCACCCATTTCATTTGATCCTAATTGCTACAACGTATATTGATGTGATTAACTAAAATATGTGAGGCTTTAATTTCTCTCTTAAGAACATGCATGTACTCACAAAAATCAGTGGAGAGTACCTAATCCATTTTTCATATATTAAATACAGACAAGTCTTTTTATCATATAGTACTACTAATTAATCATGAAGTACAAAAATATTTGTCTCAGAATAACGTGTTTTGTTTTAGTCACATCTAAAGCACTTCAGTATTTTACTTTTCTTTCACAATTTCCTGTCTCCTTCGCTGAAGCAATTATTTATTTAAGTTAGTTATTTTCCCAATGCAATAAAACTCATTTAAAGTGATTTACTTTACCTTTTGAAGAAACACAGGACTCTCACTAGATTTATTGATTGGCAAGGATTGATAAAGGATATGTTTCTGAAAACAAAACTTTACTAATTGTGAACTTCTATTCATATTTAACATGGAAAATATTTTTTGTATCTTTGAATCCTTTTTTCAAAAGTTGTTTAATGATGGGACATTATGAATTAAAGTATGTAGTAGTGCTAATAGTAACCAGACCAGTTCTGTCAATGTAGTCTTTAATACAAGTCTTGACTATAAGTAACTTCTGTACTGTTTATTTTCTTTTTTCATTTAGAAGTGAATGTTTTATATCCTACTTCCTTCTTTGAAATTATATAAGTTCTGTGGTGGTTGACCTATACCTAGATGTACATGGCAGTACTAGAGTCTGAATTTTGTTGACCAACCCATGCCCTTTTCCACTTTCCTGCTACAGTACATTTTTAACAGAAAAAATTGGTGAGACTAAGAAAAAAATGGTTACTAAGCTTCCACTTGAAAATGTCAGTGGGCTGCTGTTTAAATTGGAAGAAGCAAACCCTCTGAACTCTTTTTGGGCTTGCAGCACACAGCAGGAGCAAATTCATTGATTTGAGAGCTTTTTATCTTCAAGGTAGGAATTTGGATGCGTTGTGCCTATCAAGCGCCAAACAACCTCTTAATACTTTAATCTCAGCCTGGGTTCTTCGTAATCTCACGCTCACAATCATGAAAGAATCATTATATGAAAAGCAAATAGTTAAATCTTTTCAAGTAGCTTCTTATAAAATGGACTTTAAGAAAATGTGAAAGCCATTTATTTATTTTTTTGGTCCTTTGTATCAGTCTTGGCTTCATGGAAAAGTTATTGCAGTTTTCCTGTTTTAGAAGTAGCCGGCCATTGCCACCTTCTTAGGGCTAAAAGGTGAGAGTGACTGGCCTGGCCCAAGGTCACCCAGTTGGGTTCCAAGCTTAAGACAGAAGTAGAATCCAAATTCCTTCTCCTGCTGCAATATCTTAACTTACAGGTGTCAAATTTGTCACGTGACATGTCGCAACGTATCACGACTTTTTTTGTCTTGTCGGAGCACCCCTGTCTTAACCACTAGACTAAACTGCCTGCAGGAGAAAATATATCTCACTGAGGCAATTCTGTTAACTTTAGAGAAGCTCTGACAAATAGATTAGGCAGGAAGAGAAAGAGAAAACTAGAGAGCTAGACTTGACTTGACATAGATGAATAGAGAATTAAATATATATGTCCCATCCTCTCTATTTGTTAATTTTTTAAAAAATCACCTCGAAGAAAATTATTTGGGAGAAATTGTTTTATTTATGTCATTTATAATTTTTGTTACTTAAACAACTAAGCAGTAATGAATGGCTAAGCAGTTTTTGTAATAATGATGGAGATGTTTCTTAGTAACTTCATATTTTTACTTTTTCTGAGGGATTTATAATCTTCTCAAATGGTCTTTGGCAAACCTCAGAATGATCCTGTTGTAAGTTGCCTTGAGTTAATATTGTGAAATGAGTGGCTATGTAAATAAATTCATTCATTCAATCAATCAATCAATCAATCAATGAAATGGTCTTCAATTAATATGTGGTGAAGACTGGAAGTGCAATTAAGGCAGGAAGTACAGTAAACCAAGAAAAAATGTAAATTATAATGTTCAGATTCTAGGAATCACTATTCAAAACTTGCTATAAAAATAGAACTTGTACTTCTGAAAGTCCTGTCGATAGATATCTTTGTCTTCTCTCCTTAAAAATGGAGGAGGTTTGGAATCAAATTATGCAAACTCAGTAAAAACTTAACAAGGAATTTGGCTCATCAAAATTGGCATTATTGAGAAGAAACCATTTGGAAAAGAATTGTATAATTATAAATAATTACAGGATAACCCAGTTAAATACTATTTTTGGCACCTTCCTGTTAAATGTTTTAAAGAAATATACATACATACATATTAAAAGTGGTTGCTGAGACCAAGCTGCAAAGTATTCATCCTTAGTTTTGCTAGCATTCATTGAACTATGCCCCCTGTCTCTGTTTCAGTCACTGTATATCTATTGTAGTCTTCTCACATACATTTTTGTCTTCTTAAATATTTCTACTCAAGTCCAACTCTTCATTTATTGCAGTCCTAACCTATATAATAGTGCAATTTTAAACATATAAGGGCAAAAAACTTTTGACAAGATGTCAACCGAACTATAGGGAGAGGAAAATTATACTATCTTTATGAAATAAATATAGCTATAAATTCAAAAGAATAGTTGTCACTAACAGTGGAATTAATGATGTAGATAAACATTTGTTAAAACAAGTGTGTGCGTGTGCATATGTGTGTGTGTATGACTTTATTTTGTAAATATGAGGTGTGCAAATCTTATATAACGACTGCATAAGAATTATGGTGATAACATCTCTTATGTCTTAGGATTTCATTTGATGGTTACTAAAGGAAGTCTATAAATGTTCATCTAAATTAATGCATACTCTTTAGTGTTTTCTAATGCAGTGCATTTTAGTCACTAACCTAGGAACTGTTACTGCTTAAAGAGCATAAACAATTATCTAGAATCATGATTCTGATGTTGGGTTAATGGACATGTTATGTTGTATGCCATTGCAGATATGTCTTCTCCTACAATGAAGAAACCTGAAAAGCCTTTGTTTAGCACTACATCTCCTCAGGATTCTTCACCAAGACTGACTTTCCAGCATCATCATCCAGGAATCCCAGGAGTTGCACACAGTGGTGAGGAAACAAAAGTGATAGAAATGCAGGAAAGTTGGGCAAACATAATGTTAATTCAGCATTTAACTCAAAATTATATCAGATACTCTATGAGCTGGTTGCTTAGAAAATTTCTCTTGCTTCAGCTGAACTATATTTCTTTAGCTAATGTAAACAATATCACTTTTGAAGAGACATCCATTCTATCACATCCAGAGGAGTTTTATTTAGGTCATGAGATGCATAATCTCAAACAGGACAATCATTTCAAGTTATGAATTGATATGTAGCTAGATATATCATAATACATGTGCACTTAGATTGGCACGTTACTGTTCTCTTCATTTTAAGAGACATTTAAATGAAATTCCTCTGATATCCTGGGAATATATTTAGGGTTTGAATAAGAATTTTATGTATTGTTATTTGTGAATAATCAGAAAAATAGTATAATAAAATCACATTGAACAAGTTTGATGTGGTTAAGGCATCAGGCTAGAAACCAGGAGATCGTGAGGTCTAGTCCTGCCTTGGCTTTTAAATAGGCCATTGTAGAGATGATGTATTGTGGAAAGGAAGACAGGTGTCTCTGGTAAGACAGTAAGCTTTGGCACATTAAAAGCTAAACCTTCCCTGCAGCTCTTAAATTCCTGTGAAACTGATATAATGGACAAAGTTCTGTCAAGTCACGTTTGGGGCTTTCCATAGTCATTCCAATACTTTGAGTCTGACTCAGTATTATACACAGGTGTGATAAATGCACAGGAAGTCATTCCAACCATTTATTTAATTACTACATTGTGAACTAATGGTACTTTTGAGATTCCACCTTGTGAATTGTGTTCAGTTTTGGGCATAACAGGGATTCATTGAAGTTGAAACAGCTTCAGAGAAGCTGATAAGGGGGTTGTTATCGTTAGTGTTAGAAAAAGACAGCTGAAGAGGCCATGGTAGCATGCTTTAAATACCTGAGAAGATGTCACATCAGAGAAGTTCAAGGTCTTTCTCATTTTGTGAAGGTTGTAGAATAATAGATTCAAACTATAGAAAGGTAGATTAGCTTCCTAACTGGAGCAGCAGTTTGGCAGTGGGTTGACAGTCATTTGTCTGTTACATAGCTATTTAAGCGGATTTGGGAAAATGCAAAAAAGAGGTAGAATTTATTCTATTAAGTCAACTATATAGGATAAAAGATTGACCAATGACTAAAAAACATTCAATTTTTAATTTATTTCAGTCATAGTGAATCACTACGTTTGTGCTTTTAGACATTTAACATATTTTTAAAAGCTTTGCGAATAGAAAAAAGACTTGTCTTTATCATCAGAAGTGTGCACAAATTGAACAAAATTATATTTTGAATTTGGAACAAAACAAAACCCCACTTAGCATTTTTATTGGGATAGCTCAAGCAGGATTTTGCCCTTGATGGCTATCTAAAAATTCTCCAATATGTTGCTGTATTTATTTACTATCAAATTTATAAATTACATTTTTATCATAGTGATTGTAAAACCTGAAGGCAGCCTACATGTGCAACTAAACTATTTACCCAACAACTTTAATTTGATGTTCAGTATCAGATCAGCAAGATAGTGGCAATAATTATTTTATTTATATCTTTATTTATTTATTTAGTATATTTTTATAACTGCCCATCTAATATGGGACTCTGAACAGAATTAAAAAAATACCAAAAGCAACAAAATCATCAAAAAACTAACAACTTAAAACCATTAAAAACAATGAAATCATTGTAAAAAGCATAATCTACAGGAAAGTACATTCAATTTCACTAGCAATGCAGCCACTTTGTAGGCTTCATATCCATGTTGCTGGATTCCCAGCCTCAATGGCAAAGCCATGGTTTCAGGCCTTTCCAGATATTTTGTTTCAGTGAAGTAGCCATATGGCTGTAGTGCAAAGAATGAACTGGTGTAGCCATCTCCTAGAGCAGTGGTGGCGAACCTATGGCACGGGTGCCAGAGGCGGCACTCAGAGCCCTCTCTGTGGGCACACGCACCATCGCCCCAGTCCTAGGCCTTCAGCTGGGTTTTATAAAACCTTTTTGCTTTAGGCCTCCGCCGCCATGTGCAAAAAAAAAAAGTTCAGTCAGTCAATTTCAACTTCTCGCGGGAAAAAAAGATCTTGCAAAGTTGGAACTGATTGATTGAACTTTTTAGTCCCACCCAGTCTGCCGTTACCACCGCAGCCACGCCCACCCAATTGGCCACACCCACCCAATGGGCCACACCCACCTGGCACTCGACGATGCCTAAGTGGGTTTTGTGTTGCAGTTTGGGCATTCAGTCTCTAAAAGGTTCGCCATCACTGTCCTAGAGCTCACTTTATAAGATGAATCTATTCAATTTCCTTCTTCCTCTTCCACATTGCTTCCCTTATGTAGTTTACTTGAGCGCTATTAGTTCATGCCGCCAGATAAACACATGGTATTGATAGCATTGATTCTGTAACCTCATGAAATAAATATGGAATTTTATAATGATAAAGCTCTATTCTTTTTTGCTTACTCTGGAAGATGTGTCAAGTATGATGGTCTCATAGTTTAGCTCCATAAGTATGGTGAAGATGTCCTATTATCTATTATTTATTGCCCTTCTACTGGAAATCCTTGAACTTTAGCTAGACATTATTATTTGTAAAAATGTAAAAAGCATTTTACTTGAGATTTTATTTTGCCACAGTTGATTTTAGTCCTTTTTAAAATGTCTGGAGACATGCTTATTTTAATAAAACAATGTAGTGTCATTGATATATGTTGATATTTCAAGAAAACAGTTTGGTTTTTTTCTCTCCTTTATGTGTGGAAAAGGAATAAGACCTTAATTAGCAGCTTATAGTGTTCTTTAATGAAAGTCTTTTTTAATCTTCAAATTTTCAGCTGTGTAAGCGTATCATTTAAGAGGTAGTTAAATAATAGGAAGGCCTTTCTCTGAACTGAAGTGACATCATTACAGCCCTTATATCAAGGGCTCTTCTGATACTGAATTTTCTCCACAGTCATGTTTATAAGAGGAGAAAATGGATTTTAATTGGCCAGTCAATCTGCATTATCCTAGCCTTGTGCTAAGGTTTTGTTATCATTTGCTTATTCAAATCATGGCAGGTCCCAAATATAATTTAAGAAGAAGAATTTGGCCTTTCATTTTCAGATTTTATGGAAGACCGTGCAGATGAACTGTTGTTTAGCAATGTAAAGCTTGAGGGCATCTGAACTTTGTGGTCTTTTGATTGAGCCCAAAAAAAATGGCCAAGCCCATAATTGCCATTGTGAAAGAGGCTATCCTCCAGAACAGAAGTTTAAGCATTGGATAAGACTGGATAGACCTAATCCTACTCCCCGTTTGACCCACTCACTGGGGATTTTGGGTCAGTCACTCACTCTTGCCCCAACTTTATTGTTGTGGGGATAAAAGGAAAGACTTAAGGTTACTTTTACCTTTGGATGGGTTATAAAAACACCTTAGCCAAGGGAAAAAGTAGATGAAAGTGGAACATAAAAAATACATTCTACATTCTACGATACGTTCTGCATTGACCTCAAGTTCATTTGAAACAAGTCTTTTATAAGACAGAATTTTTATTTAGAGTATATTGCTTTTAGGCCCTGATCAGAGTCATCCCTGGCCTAAGTAATGATAGAGACAAAATGACTTGTACAATATTAAAGCTAGAAGCAGTGAAGATACCACTCATCATACCGGAGAAATATATTAGTAAACTAAAAAATAATTTGTGTGAAATATGGTTGTAAAGCTATACCCTATTGTAAAGCAATGCCAAAGCATTGCTTTGCAGAGTGAGATGGGGGTATATTAATTACTTTATTAAAGCTTTATTTATTGTCCATATGACAATACCAATATGATAGCATTTGTTCATTTTTTGCTCCCCATTTCTTGTTTATGTTCTTACCACACAATATATCTTATATATAAATGAAATGATATTAATGATTGAATTATAATGCATCTGCCATCTCTGAGATGCTAACTCTGCAATAACAAGGTATTCTGTACATTCCTTTTATTGCTGAGGACATCGCTAGGTTTTTAGATTTAGCACACAATCTCATGGTAGAGAAATGCAAGGGAAAAAAATCTGTATGGGATATGATAGCCTTTTTGTTCAGAGAGATGCTGATCTTGAGTGAAAGATTTTCCCAGGCCCTTAAGTTGAACATTCATTAGCATTTTCACAATGGCTTGCTAATTATTCGTGGTGTTATTCCTTAGTAATTATTCCCCACCCTCTCCCATGCATTAGCTAGGGTATAGCGGAAAGTATTGTTGGATCATTTGCTGTTTCTTCAGACTCTGTCTCTTAACGTTCAGTAAAAAATGTTTTATAGTTTTAATTTAATTTATTTGCCTTGGTTTTAGATCGTATTGGACAACTGAAATATATTTTTAGAAATGCAGTGCTTTCTCTGTGCAGAAGTATGCACAATAAAGTAAATATGCACAATAGAGCAAAATTGTTTCACTAAAGAAATAACTATCTCCTGAGACGCTTGGAGTATGAAGGACTAGTGGTTCAAAAGGTTGTAGGCTAAAAATGGGAGGATGGAAAGAAAATAAATAATTTCATATAATTTGATTTAGATTTTTCTCTACGGTCTTATGTGCTGAATTTTATTATTAAAAAGATTCTCAATAACTTGTATTTTTCTTTCTTTCTAGTCATCTCAACTAGAACTCCACCTCCACCTTCACCATTGCCATTTCCACCACAAGCTATTCTTCCTCCTGCCCCATCTAGCTATTTCTCTCACCCAACTATCCGATATCCTCCTCACCTGAATCCTCAGGATACTTTGAAGAATTATTCTTATGACCCGTCCAGTCCACAAACCAGCCAGGTACTGTAACAGCCAATAATATGATCTTGGGATGAATGGTCTTGGGATGAATAGAAAAGCTGTTTCCTGTAACACATTTCATATTGGATGCTTGCATTTGTTTTTGCCCAGATTGAATCTTGTAATATAATTGAAAAATCTTCAGCATTTTGCTATCATTTAACCATATAAAAGGTGGTTGGCCACTAGTGGTTTTTGGATCATTAGCTGATTTTGGAATGATATATAGATGAGCACGCATAGCTCTTTTTTGAAAATTCTGAAGACAACATAGGATCAGAACAAGCTAGGATTTCTTTTTTTCTAAACTGGGAACTATTCTGAACGTTTGCTTTGTGTATTGTATGAAGGGACCTGGTTGAACATGTACCTTTTCCTACTTTCTTTTTTAAAATCTGCTAGATCTTTGTATTTAGCTTATAGCCATTTATGGCAGTTACTGTGCATAAAATAAGTCTGAAGTGCTTGATTCAGGGAAAAGTCAAGAATGTGCTAATGTAAACACACACAAAAAGAGCATGCAAGCCTATTTATAGTTTGCTATTTACATAAAGTCTTTTGAATTGCATACTGCTTTTCAGTATTCTGAGAATATTTGGCAAGTGTTTGATGTGGTGGAGAAAGGTAGCAGTGAACTGTATAAAAAAATTGAAGATGAAGTGGTTAGTTTTGATAAGAGCACTTGCAAATGATTACATATCAGTTCAGACATGTTTTTAGCATGGCAATAATGCAATTTTTAAACCAGAGAAGTGATTTACAAAATACTTGGTTCCAACTGCCTTATAATAATATCGTCCACATGTTGCATGTGTAAATTTGTATAATATCTGAAATATAATGTACACTTTATTGCAGTTTTTAGTTCCTATTTTTTTTGTCTCTCACATAGAATTTTCTGACAAAATTCATTTTTTATGTTGCTAAATTTCATTTGGAGTTCAGGAAGATTTTGATTGATAATGACAGTAAAGCATTTAGTTTCTAAGCTGCTTCTCAATTTTGCATTTTTCACATTAAAGTACAATCATGGCAAATGTCTATAAAAGTATTACAGAAGGATAACCAAAACTTACAAGCAATAATACAGACATGTCAAACTCGTGACGTCACGTGATATCGTGCAACGTATCAGGACAGTTTTGCCATTGCCGGCAATGGAGTGGGCGCGGCTTCTGCGTGACGTGTCCGGCCCGTGGGCCGGCAGTTTGACACCCCTGCAATAATATAAACAACCATTTAAAAATCAGCAGTACAAAGTTTATGTTCCCTTATTAGAACCAAGTATGCAGACTGAGTCAAGCAATATCTATTCTTCAGAAAGGAGATCTAGAGAATTGGAGCTAGCGGAGATTCAGAAAATTGCAAAAGCATGACTTGCTTGATATCCATCACACCTCCTTCCATAGTTTTGATATTCATGTAAGAAGAAGCATTCTGTCAAATACTTAGAATCCACATTATTTAGGGCTTTACAAATTTAAGACCAGCAGGTTTAAATTGGATTTGGAAACAATGTAAAACTCATTAGAATTCTCACAAAATTGACAATAGTGCTTTATGTACAATCCTAGTCAGCAATATTTTAATTTAACCTATCGTATGTAGCTCCACATTCAGCATGATTCAGTAGTCCTGTTTAGAAGTTGTCCAATCATATACAGGTAGTCCTGTAATAACCAGGATGGACATGCTCAAGTTATGACCATAATGGAGCATGTCCATCACAGTTTTAATTCATGGTGGTGGTAAAGCAAGTTGGTTATGTGGCTGGCCCAATTTTATGACCTTTTTTGTGGTAATTGTTAAGCAAATGATATTTGGAAGTAACTAAGTAAATGCTGTGACTGTGGTATGCTGCAAACAGCCATAAATGCAGACCAGTTGCTGTGAATTGTGTGCCTGGTCACAAGATTGGGGAGGGAAGGGGGAACAAAGTTTCAACAGTTACTAAGTTGCTGACTGTAAGTCAAGGTCTATCTGAAATACTATAGCAAATTCCTTATCTAGTTATGAATGAGGTAACCAGAGTTGTTCATATGTTCTCATTTGATTCTAGACAAATGTTATATCCAAAACAACTTCATAGTTATTATCTTCTACTTTCAGTAGAAAGATTATTTTCTAAGATAGATGATCCATCATTTCATATATATCCTTGATTCTAAAAATACGTGTTTTGCTTACTTATATAAAGCTGGAATTTAGCCACTAGGTACAATTTGAACGTTGAACTAATGAGAACTACAAACTAATACTATCCAGTAATGATACATACTAGTAATGATGGATAGCTCTGAAAAAAATATTTAATTTTTTTATGAAACTGGAAAAACTTTGAAGATAAGTTTGACCCCCTAACACAGATAATCATGGTTGAAGAATAGTCTCCCAGCACCACCTTCTGGAACATGCATATGGTTAAAGAACAGAGTAGCCTATTAATTCTGATTTGGATATTCTGGCTATTATGTATGACAGATATTTGCTTCTCCAGAAAGTTTTCATCAAGCATAACTTTTTACATTCATTTTTTAAAATAAAAATAAGCCACATTCTAAGCCAAAAGTCTCTCAGACTATGATGTGATATTCTCAAATAAGAACGCATTATAATTTTTATCACATAAATATTTTTTTCTTAGATGTTCATTATCAATATTAAATGTCAAATTTAATACATCATTAGTACTAAATTCTAATATACTAAATGTATTTTAGAGTCTAAGATACAAAATGCTGTCAGAATCATACTCTGTTATTACTATTTCTGCTGCTAAAACACAGATGGGTTAATGGTTCATAGGAATTCATTTTAGTTAGTATAACATTTCCATTAATTATAAAGTCTAATCAAGACATCAATTAGAAATCCTTAATGTTAATTAATTGTGGAAAACATATGATTTTTATTGTTGGCTTTTAGTCTAAAGTGAGGTCTTTAACTAGACATTATTACCTGAAAATGGAAATAAAGTCTGTCTTCTATTGTACATTTACTTAAGAAATACATTTCATATTAATATATACTTTTTAAATTTGGCTATATTAGCAAATTTATAATATTAAGAGCTTTAAAAAAAATCAGTATTAGCTTTCTACTTTTTGCTGTCCTGCTAATTGCATCTTTAATATTGGGAACATAATTAGGAAAGAATAATTCCCCAATATTAATGTGATTTCAGAAGATATTTCTCCCATTAAATAATTATGTGTTTATAATTTTATTAGTATTTTATTAAAATTATAGAATGGCAGAATCTGGACATTAAACTAAAGTATGGAGTTTAAATTCTTCATTGCAGTTTCTGTGATTCACACATCTGTGTCTGGTCCTACCTTCATGTAAAAATTTCTAGAGGTCAAATTTGGTAGGAATCTCTTCTCCAATTTGGAATGCATGCTCAAAGAACGCTGCTCCCATTGTTGATTATACAATGCAAGAATCTAGGAATTTTACTACTTTGTTTTTTGCAGGTCTTTTTTCTTATCTATTACTGTTTGATTTTGTTTAACTTTGGCATTTTTCTTTTTGCTCTAGCACAGTGACTATTTTGCAAATTTTACCTGCTATTCTTGTACTACATCACTTGATTTTTCAGGTGTTGCATAGAAAGTACTTCTGAAATTGTAATAATACCTGTTAAATTCTCCTGAATTAGTGCCAAATCTTGATGACTAAAAACAAGGTATATTTATGTACTAAATGAAATATCCTCTATTGACCAGCTGAGCCCATCTAGATGTTCGGAAGAGGTACTGAAATATTCTGCAATTCCTTTTGTTTAGAGCAATTTCCTAAGTTAAGGACGGATTCTGTTTCTAACTCTGTCCTTAAGCCAAAATTGTATTTAAAAAGTTATTTAATCAAATGTCATCTTATTATGAACTGCTGAAAACAGCCCAGACTGCATGCAGACCTCAGGCAGAAGTGGGAGATGTATACATGCAAGCATGGAGGTGTGCAAAGCATGAACCAAGGAGGGGGCTGGACTTGGAAATGCAATGAAGGAGCCATAGCCTCCTCTCCTGCAGTGCACCTACCTTTCTTTTCTTGAAATAGATTGGTTGGTTGTCCACCATTTTGAGTACTGCAAGCAGTCCATTTGTACCTAGGGATTGTTCGTAGTCCAGAGGTGCCTGTATTCTACAAATGTTTGTACTCAAGTCAGTAATTTCCTTATGAAAGAAATCTATAGTTGCCTAAAGACCTAGTATGTCCTAATATTGTGAAAACAATTGCTCTCTCCTTTACATTTTTATAAAATAGGACTTTGGGGAAATTATATAAACATATACAACTATATTTAGGCTGTATCGTAGAATTAGGTTAGAATTACATTCTGCAAGATTGACAACAATGTAAATACATTGGCATACAGTGATGTCAAGATTTTTATCCAGTAGATCAGTGGTTCTCAACCTGTGGGTCGGGACCCCATTTGGGGTCGATCGACCATTTCATGGGGGTCGCCAAGCAAGGCTGTCCGCCATTTTTTTGTCCGCCATTTTTTTTGTCCGCCATTTTTTCCCCCCTTTTCCGGCGGGTGCCTTACCTCCCTTGGGCTGGGCCAGCTGGTGGTCGGCCTGCTCCGTCTCTGCCGCTTGCCAGCTACACCTCGGCCGGCGCAGGGGGCGGAACCACGCATGCGTGGCGCTCTCGGGCAGGGAAAGTCCTCGACTTACGACCGGTTGGGTAGTCCTCGACTTACGACCGGTTTAGTCCTCGACTTACGACCGGTTGGGATCGCGGCATTAAAAAGGTTGAGAACCACTGCAGTAGATTGTAGTTCAAAAATTTCCTTTTTCAAAGGATCAAGCTAGTACAATGAATGGCTCTACCCAATTGCAGTTTGAGCCAAACCAATATGCATTCCATTTAAACCCATGTGATTATAATAATTTCCAAAATTCCACCTGTACAAAAACACCATATCAAATTCCATTATGCTTTTCTCACCTCACAGCATATTCATTCAATTTTGTTTTCAAGTAATTGTT